TGGTCTTTGGGCTGCACTTTGTGTGGTCCCTCACCACTCCTGTCTGCCTTGGGTACTACTATACTACATACTAGTGGTATGAAGCCCCTGAGAGCATAGCTCCTAGAATCATTGGGACACTCAAATCCTCCACCACGGTAAGGTGGCAGCCCAGGAGGGGAGTTTACAAACAATCCACATTTAATTACTCTTAAAAATTTGATGGATTTAAAAATTATATTTGTATTTGCACCTATTATTACTGGACAACAATTTACCTGCCAGCCATTTTAAAGCTCCCTTTGCACATCTGACACACTTTTTTTTTTCTAACATACATTCTAATTTTACCTAAGAAATTATTTGATGATGGTTGTGAAAAACACTCATAAATAGTATTTCATAGTGTCAAAAAGGTACAACTAATTACCACTAGCCAGTGTAGGAATGCTAGCCTCCTCTAAGAGCTATTACTGGGATTTCTGTCACAATTGTTTTTGTTGCAATAATGTTCCATTCATACATAAAAACTGGTTGTTGTACATATTCTTATTTTTTGTATTAATAATTAAAAATAATTGGATTATTAATTAATAATTCCAAAATAGTTATCTGTCAATTATAATTATCTGTGCATTTTTAAAACATGTTTTTTTTTACACATTTTAACCATCTGTGCTTTTTTAAAACACATTTAACACTTTCTTTAAAAAAAAAAAAAACACATCACAGCAACACAACCCATCCTCTTTTTTTCTTTTATCATTTTGTTTTTTCCTTATGTTGTGGAAACCACAACTGTTATTGCATTTTCAAATCTAATCAAATTTATTTAAATAACCCCTGTAAAAACACCTGTTGTTGGCCAAAGTGCTGCACATAATACAAATAGTGAGAAGACATTACAAAAACAGGAGACCATATAAAACATAAGAATATAATATAAGACCATATAATATAAAAATAAAAAAACAAAAAATATTTACAAAGTCAGCTCTCATTCTGTATTAAAAGTCAGTGAGTACAAATGTGCTTTAAAATGAGATTTAAAAACATAGAGTGTTGAAGCCTGGCTGATATGAAGAGGCAGCTCGTTCCACTTAAGGGGTTTCCACATCGAGTTATCCTCAACCGTTTCAATGCATCTTCTGTCATCACTCCAACTACCTCCATGCCCTCTCTAACTGCATCCATACATCTCCTTTTTGTCTTTTTCCTGGCAGCTGCATTTCTAACATCCTTCTACCACTGTCCCTTCTCTGGACATGTCCAAACCATCTCAGTCTGGTCTGGTCTCTCTAACTTTATCTCCCAGTTGTTCAAGCTGTGCTGTACCTCTGATGATCTCATTCCTGATCTTATCCATCCTTGTCACTCATAAGAACCTCAACATCTTATTTCTGCCAGTTCCAGTTCTTTCTCCTGTCTTTTTGCCAATGCCACTGTCTCCAGACCATACAACATAGCTGCTCTCACAGTCATAAATGTTGTCTTTGACCTTTGCTACCTCTCTTTTGTCACAAATCAATCTGAAACTTTTTTCCATTCACTCCATCCTGCATATACTCTCTTTTTCACCTTTTTACCACACTCCCCAATTTTCTGGACAGTGGACCCCACGTAGACTACTTGAAGTCCTGAACCTTTGTGACCTTTGCTCCTTGTAGTCTCAGTTCTACCTGCCTCCCTCACATTTACACACATGTACTCTGTCTTGCTACCGCAAACTATCGTTCCTCTTCTTTTAAGTGCATACCTGCACTTCAAGTTTTCTTCTACCTGTTCCCTGTTCTCACTACAGATCACAATGTCATCTGCAAACATCATAATCCACGGAGATTCCTGCCTGACCTCATCTGTTAGTCAATCCATCACCAGAGCAAACAAGGAGCTCAGAGCTGATCCTTGATGCACTCCTACCTCCACCTTGAAACTGTCACTCCTACAGCACATCTCACCACTGTCCTGCTTTCCTCATACATATCCTATAGCAGTCTAAGATACTTATTTGTAACTTCTCTGTCAAATGTTTTTCTTTTACAAAAAGATGAACCACAACTCCAGTCTGCCAATCGAGTGGAACTACATTTGATCTCCATGCAGTGTTGCAAAGACATGTCACCTAAGATAGCTTAGCAACATCCAGAGCTTTAAAGAACTCAATGTGAATCTCATCCATCATTGGATCCCTACTGTTGCCCTGGCCCTTTGGTGGCCCTTGGAGCCACCACAAAGCTTTTTAACTACCTCGCCTTCAGCTTCAGATATGAACAGTCAACCCCAAAGTCCTGACTCAGTTTTCTTCATATAAGAAGTGCTAGTGGGATAGAGAAGTTCTTCAAAGTATTCCTTCCACTACCTGAAGACATCAGTGAATGAGGTCAACAGTACCCTACTTCCATTATACACCCTTTAATAAAGCATTGCCTTCCATACCTCAGCCACCTGATGGTTTGCTAGAATCTTCTTGGAATCAATGGAGAGTCTCTATCTCAGATCTCCCCAAACTCCTCCCACATCCAAGCCTTTGCCTCAGCAACAGCCAGGGCTGCAGCCAACTTGGTCCACTGATATCCCTCATCAGCCTCTGGAGTATCACAAGCTATGAAGATCCAATAGGACTCCTTCAGCTTGACAGACTCCCTCAACCGGGGTGCTCACCACCAAGTTCAAGGATGGCTGTCATGAGGGGAACTGACAACCTTGTGGCCACAACTCACGGCAGCCACCTCGACAGTGGAGGCTTTCCCCACTGTCGAGTTTTGGAGGACGTTGTTGAAGCTTCATCAGAGGTAGGAGCTGAAGATCCTTCTGAAGGGTTTATTTGCCAATTCATCACCTCTTACAACATATTTGGTTCTACAGGTATTTTACAGCATCTTTCTCTGACATCTCACCATCAGGTAGTGATTTGTTGACAACTCAGCTCCTTTATTTGCATGTGTTTCATAAACATATGGTCACAGGTCAGATAACGACTGCAAAGTCTACCATAATTCTGTGGCCTAGGGTGTACTGGTGCCATGTGCATGTATATACAACCTTATGTGGTCTAACATGGTGTTTATGATGGACAAACTGTGCTTAGCACAAAAGTCCATCAACATACCACTTAGGTTCATTTTAGAGAGGCCATTCCTTTGACTCATGCCTCTCCAGATTACACTCATGTGGGCACTGATGTCGCCTTGCAGAATAATGCAGTCCCCACCTTCCAGCACCCCTGCTAAGAACTCCAAGAGTGCTAGGTACTCTGAAATGCCATTCCACACATAGGCAGAAACAACAGTCAGCTTATTCCCCAACCAGAACGTAGGGAAGATAACCTTTCATCTACTAAATAAAAATATGGGCAACTTTAGAGTGGAAGGTCCACCATATCTCAAGATGTTACAGAGCCTATGCCATGTGCTGTTGTTGTTGTACTGACTATATCTAGTCTATCTAGTAGAGTTTATCTAGAGGATCGATCTATCCTCTTAATCAACCATGCACACAAGCTCAAGCTCCTCTCCAGAGAGGTGATATTCCATGTCCCAATAGCTAGCATTGGGTCAGAGCATCAAGGTCCCCCACTTTCAGATGTTGCCCTTGACACCATGTACTCAACCCATATGTCCCCTCCTGCAGGTGCTGGGCCCACAAGAAAGTGAATCAGGCCAGGCTCCAGGGTGGGGCCCAGTAACCTGAGTCCAGTGAAGAATATCAAACTCTTTACCGTCTTCTGTCCATACAAGTATTGTGAATTGCTTCGATATATTAGACAAAGATGATTTATTTACTGGCATTTACTTATTGCAACACGGCTACATTTAACATCATTGTACGGGACAGCTGTGGCTGAGTGGTTAAAGCAGTCGTTCTCCAATGCGAGAGTTGGGGGTTCAAATCCACCAGCAGTCACATGTCGAAGTGTCCCTGGGCAAGACACTGTGTCCAGTCAGTGTATGAATGTGATATAAAGCACCGATCAGTCTCATTAGAATTATTTAATTAGCTCTGTAGAGATCTAGTAGAGTGCTGTATGAGTGGGTAAATGAGGCACAGATTGTAGTGTAAAGCGTTTTGAGTATCTTGAAATAAGATAGAAAGGCACTATATAAGTACAGACCATTCACCATAAGTACAGTCCATTTACAAATGTGATTTGAAAAACTAAAAAAAAATTAGTTTGAAAGTAAGGGTAAAAGTGGACACAACACAGCTGTGATGTCTGTCAGAGGGATACAGGGACACTATTTATGAGCTTTTGTTGTGGCCTGACTAAAGCTGAAATATTTTGCTCTTTATCTTGTTACACTGAAATTGATCCAAATTCAAACACAGACATATTCATGTTTTTAGTATTTTACATTGCTTTATATTGTAGTTGTTTTTGTTTGTCCCCCCCCCTCCATTTACTTTTCATTGTATATGCTTTTTATGGTTGTCTGCTGTTGTCATCTGTGTTCTTTGTTTAAAATGAGTCTCTCTTGTAAATGAGTTCTCGAGGCTCAATGAGACTAACCTGTATAAACAAAGGCTGAATAGAGAAAATAAAATAAAATTGATGAATGCAAACATTTCAACAGTATCATAAAATGATTTTTAAGCTTTTAAAATATTTCACTGAACTTGTATTGATAAACTCAATTTTATAATTTCTTCACTCTCAAGCTTGTCTGTTAACAATTGAGTTAACTTCTTAACAAATAGACAATACAACATCTGCTATCAAAACAATTTAATTGGCAAACCAACCAAGTTCAGCTTTAACTGTGAGTACTTCATATTACACCAGTAAATAAGAATGAATAATACTATGACAGTACATAATAACATGCTTTCATCATAAACGAACAGGCAATAACAGTGCAATAAAAGTAAATGTCCTAATATGTTCATGATTTTGCTTTTAAAGAGTAATATGCTTAACTTTATACTTTGTGAGTACAGGCAAATAGATGCAATGTCTGTTAAAGAAAGCATTTCTGAAAAGAGAGCTTTGTTTATATTGTAATCAAAGGGAGAGTATTGCTGTTATTTCCTGTTTTAGCAAAGACTCTCTTTAAAACTACAATTTACCTCTTAACAAAGCAAAGTTGTGAGTAAACACAATAAGACTTTGTGTAGTCTGAGAGTTTAAATCCTGCAACAGGTTGAAATCTATAAGCTCCCCTCAGTGAAACATCTTGAATTTGCTGCCATCGAGGGGTGACACCATCAGTCTCGCTGAACCCGGTGAGTAGAGAGGCCGCCACTTGTTCCTCCAGATGACTGTGCAGAATCGGGAAACAAACAGGATGCACGCCAACACCAGCAGTACCACTGAGAAGACAGAAATAGACCATTGGTTAAAACAAAAATAATGGTAAATCTTTCACTCTAAACAACTGTTTGAGACAAAATTATTGGACTTCACATCTGCCTTCAACACCATAATCCCCCAAACCCTGATGGACAAACTATTCACACAAGGACTAAGCCCCTCCATTTGCAACTGGGTCCTAGACTTCTTAACAAACAGACCACAGTCAGTGAGGATCCACAACTTCTCCTCCTCCACCATAACCCTCAGCACTGGCTCCCATTAGGGCTGTATATTGAGTCCTCTCCTGTTCTCTCTGCTCACATATGACTGTGCACCTACCCATCCAGGCTGTCATATTGTAAAGTTTGCAGATGATACAGTGGTGGTGGGATGCATCACAAACAATGATGAGTCCAGCTAGAGGCAGGAGGTGGAACACCTGGAGAGCTGGTGCTGGAAGAACAACCTTCACATCAATTTGAAGAAGACAAAGGAGATGATTGTGGACTTCAGAAGGAACAAACTAGGAGGATCTGCGGTGGAAGTGGTCTCCAGCTACAACTACTTGGGGGTGCACCTGAATAACAACCTCACCTGGGGCAACAACACCACCAGCCTGATCAAGAAAGCTCATCAGAGACTCTACTTCCTCAGGCGGCTGAGACGAGCTGGTCTGGGAAGCTCAGTCCTCACCTCCTTCTACAGGTGTGCAGTGGAGAGCATCCTGTGCTCCAGCATCAACGTGTGGCATGGAGGCTGCACAGCTGCAGAAAGAAAAGCTTTGCAGAGAGTGGTGAAGGCTGCACAGAAGACTGTTGGAGTCAGCCTCCCCACCATCACAGACATCTACACCTCCAGATGCAGGAAGAGGGCCACCTGCATCATGAAGGATCCCACTCACCCAGCACACACACTTTTTGCCCCACTCCCCTCAGGAAGGAGGTTGAGGAGCATTAAGTGTAGAACCACTAGACTGATGAACAGCTTCTACCCTGAGGCTGTTAGACTCATGACTCTCTAACCAGAATAATCACTGTGAAAAATCACATCATGTTGCTGCTGATCTGTTTCATGTTGCTGTGTTCATTTGTGTTCATCTGCTCACACAGACTCGTATTTGTGCTGCTGTTCAGTGTATTGTTTTTATGCTATTAGTGCTTAATGTATTTTTAGTTAATACCATACCATACCACTTTATTTATAAAGCACTTAAAACAGCAACAAGGTCAACCAAAGTGCTGTACAGACAAAACAACAGGTAACACACCAAGCAAAATACAAAATGAGGTAAATCAGAATATAGACAAAAAACGATGCAGATAATGACGACAAACCAGTGTGGAGCATACAGGTTCAAAACACAGATCATCTTGTGTTGAAAGCTATTGAATAGTAGTGAGTTTTTAAATGGGACTTGAAAACCGAGAGGGAGGGGGCCTGTCTGACAAGCAGAGGCAACTCGTTCCAAAGTCTTGGTCTTGCTACAGAGAAGGCCCTGTCACCTCTGCGCTTAAGACGAGATCCTGGAACTGTGAGGAGCAACTGGTCCACTGACCTCAGGGAGCGTGGTGGGACATACGGTTGTAGCAGATCAGAGAGGTGGGGGGGGGGGGGGGGGGGG